TCACTGACCCCTCCCCATCACTGTCCCCTCCCCCATCACTGTCCCCTCCCCATCACTGACCCCTCCCCATCACTGTCCCCTCTCCCCTCACTGTCCCCGTGTCCCCGGCCAGGGCTGTGTTGTGTCACCAACGCGTGTCGGGGCCGCAGTTACGGGGTGGCCGCGGGCTGGGCGCCCGCCCGGCGCCGGCGCCTCGGGGTGCTGCTGCTGCTGCGAGCCATGGCCGTGCTGCTGGCCGAGGGAGAGAGCCAGCTGCGGCCTGGGGACATCCCCGTCCGCTCCTGAGGGGACACGGGGACACCGAGTGTGTCTGGGGACACCGAGTGTGCCTGGGGACATCCCCGTCCACTCCTGAGGGGACACGGGGACACCGAGTGTGCCTGGGGACACCGAGTGTGCCATGGGGACATCCCCGTCCGGTCCTGAGTGTGCCTGGGGACATCCCCGTCCGCTCCTGAGGGGACATGGGGACACCAAGTGTGCCACGGTGACACCGAGTGTGCCATGGGGACATCCCCGTCCGCTCCTGAGGGGACACAGGGACACCGAGTGTGCCATGGGGACATCCCCACTTGCTCCTGAGGGGACATGAGGACATCCCTGTCCACTCCTGAGGGGACACGGGGACACCGAGTGTGCCATGGGGACATCCGTGTCCGGTCCTGAGTGTGCCGCGGTGACACCGAGTGCCCAACAGTGACACTGAGAACCCCAAAGTGACACCGAGCACCCCAGGGTGACAGCGAACACCCCGAGGTGACACCGAGCGCCCCGAGGTGACACCAAACGTCCCAGGGTGACACCAAGCTCCCCAGGGTGACACCAAACACCCCGAGGTGACACCGAACACCCTGAGGTGACACCGAACACCCCGAGGTGACACCGAACACCCTGAGGTGACACCGAGCTCCCCACGGTGACACCGAACACCCTGAGGTGACACCCCGAGGTGACACCCTGAGGTGACACCGATGTCCCCAGGGCCCGTTCTGTTCCCGGAGCCCATTCTCATTTTTCCCAATAAATTCTCCCCCGGGCCCGTTTCCCTCGGGAATTTTTGGGGTCCCCGTCCGGAACGGGACACGGCTGGGACACAGCACGGCTTTACTGGCTGGGATGGCACGAACGCGACGGTGACAACGCCACAGCGGGGCTGTGACACCCCCACAGCCGCCTGGCGTTTGTTGGGGGGGGATTTTGGGTTTTTTGGGGGGGATTTTTGGGGTTTTTTTGG